TGTGAACCACAGTCTCTCCATTTCACGATCAAGGCCTCCAGAGACAAACTCTTCATGACAAAAAACCTCATTCTGTTAAACTAACTCTTAAATATTACACACACACAAACATTTCAAGTACAGTGGGTTGCAGAAGTCTGAAATCACTAGTGATAAGGCTTCTGAAATGTTTTCTATTACAAATAATATTTCTAATAATATTTATATAATTAATTTACATTATATAATCTACATTATTTATACTTCATTATTTATAATATTAATGTTTATATTTAAAAATGAAATATATTTGCGTGAAAAAAAACGGGAAAATATTATTAAAATGATTTATTTATTTTGCTTTAATGACAGCAACACTGGAGCTGACATTCTTTGTTGCCACCAAGAATGAATATATGATAAATATATATATTTAAGTTCAATTTTACATGAATTTAAGATACAAGATATTTTGCTCATATTATTATTTTATATTATATGTTTTTATATGACAGTAGTAGTGTTGCTGACATGACCAAAACTTGATTATTGTTTTCTCTGTTGTCACAAAAATTATTTGTGTATTATATTTTATTTAAATTTTAAATATATTTCAGTAAAATGTACTAGAATTGTAATATAATACACTACTTAACAATATTTAAGTAAAATATGTGAAAAGTATTTTTCTTATTTTATTTATATTTTTCTTCATTATTTTATGTTAAATTTTTTTTTGCTTTATTGACTGCAGCACTGGTGCTCACAAAACAATATTAGGCTATCTTTGTTGTCACAAAAATGTTATTTTTTATTTATATTATATATATTATATTATTTATATTTACAAATAAAATACATTTCAGTGAAATGTGTACAAAAATGTATGAATGTCTTTTTCTTATTTTATTATTATTTGTTTATTTTTACTTTAATGGAGCTGAACAAAACATGATTTTCATGTATTACTGTCACAAGTTTAGTTGCATTTATTTGGTGACCAAGCAATAGATCAGATTCTTCAATGTTTGTCTTATATTTGATGCCATTATGTCTTACATTTTCAGTTTATTTCCAGCTTAAAAACTAGATTTCAAACACAAAAATGACATTTTTTAGACTTTTGGACACCACTGCATGTCTGTGCAAACTCCTTATAATGAAACGCTTGTTCAAATTCTGAAATGCTTAAGATTAAAAGCGTTACCTAACACAGCTCACAAATGTTTTATCACAGTATCGCAAAGCGTAACAGGTTAAGACAGGAACAGTGTGAGTGCGTGTAACTGTGCAGCGAAGCGCCCTGCAATAATCAGGAAGTGCTTCTGGTGCACAAACAAGTGGGCACTTAAGAGACACCATCTGAGTCAAACTTGACATTTGGGATACCTGCGATCCAGAACTTTTCCCTTTCGTACCACCTTCACCTCCGCCGGCTTTCCCCCCATCTGTGGCCATGGCTTCCATCTTTTGATCTGAAAAAAAAAAAAAAGTCAAACCCAATGCAAAGGTGAATTTGGAGTTGGAAATGAAAGAAATGCAATGCAATGCACCAGTAAAGCAAGACAAAAAACTCAGGTTTCCTAATGCAAAAACCTCCCAGACCTCTAAACACATCAGTATCCCCCAAAACAAGCCTTCCTGTCCCTTACATGCATTGCACAAGACCCAAAACTGATCAATGGGCACAAATAAACAGCAGATCCCATATGAAAGTGGGGGGACAGGGATGGAGAGATGGCACAGACGCACGCATGGAGAATGAAGGGGTGGAGACGCATAAGGAGGGGAGGGTACGTACCACTCATTCCGCATTAATGAAACCTGGAGAGGAGTTGTTTAAGAGAAAAAAGGCAGGCAGGCAGGCAGAAGGCAGGCAGCAGCCCAGCAGAAGGACGGCCTATTTTCTCCAGCGGCCGCAGACTGTGGCGCAGCTCTGACGCACGGACCCACCCCGTCAGGAAGGGCGGTGCCAATGCAAAAACACCCTCAATAACGGAGCACAAAATACCAGGCGAGTCCGAGCGTCTTGCGTCGAACGGCGGCGGTCGCTTACGCGTTCAACGCGGGCGTATCTGCGCTGTTAGATCCGGAGTTAAACAATATTCCTCCGCGGATATAAGCGCAGGTCTGTCAGAGAGCTCGGTCTGCGCGAAGGCCCACCCACTTGCATTTAAATATCTATGAATGCCAAACCGTCACGCGCGGGCCGCTCCGTTTTTCTCTCCCCCGGATGTTTTTGTGTGCGGAATTCACTCACGACATTTGCCCGATTTCCAATTGTTCACTTTTTTGATGCACAATTGCATTTGAGGCACTCTAAAATTGCTGTGGCTTTTGTGGGCGGATGCTCCCCGCCCACATATTCAGATTGGATGGTGGGCGTGGTGACGTTTGGGGCTTGTAGTTTCGAAGCGAGCGGCGCGCGTTCGATTCTAAGCGCCGCGGACTACAAGTCCCATGACGGCGGGAGTGACGTTGCGTAAGGGGGTGTTATCAGTTCGGTTGTTCGGACTGAAGAAGGGCGGGCTTTTGTGGTTTGTGGGGGTTGGGCGAATGGAAACGGGTGGAGAAACACGAACCACCGGCCCAGTTCGGCGAAACACACGCTCAACACACTCACAAACTCACGCCCTTAAGTCTATCACGACTGTTAAACGAAAGAAATAAACGCCTCGGGAAAATAACTGTACAAGAACTGCTGAGGCGTCGCGTCTCGCGCAATGGCGACCGCGAAAAGTGTTTGGACACTTCAGTCACACTTACAAATGCGAATCATTACATAACAATGTCAAACCATGTGGCATTTATTTTGAATAAATACTTTAAATGTACAATTTTTAATCAAAATATTTAAGAAAAACAGGTTTGCTATTCAAATACATTATTTTCCTTTCAAAACAAACGTGATTCTCTACACACCTGTGTGCTCTATAGTGAAAAATAAATATCATAGATGCAAACGCCTCACCCTTCAGTGACAACTCACCTTTTTGAGATCAAAATAGGTCCCCTGTGAGATTTGCTTAGATTCAATAAGAAAGTGTTTTAATGAGGATGGTCTTACAAGGGTAGCCTAGGCCTACTTTAGGGTAAATAAAGAGTTTCAATCCCTGTTGAAAAAAACAGCATATGCTGGTTAGGTATGTTTTGACGCTGGGATGCTGGTTTAACCTAGTCCTTTGCTGTTTTATGCTGGTCCTTTGCTGGTTTAGACTGGTCCTTTGCTGGTTTAAGCTGGTCCTTTGCTGGTTTAAGCTGGTCATGTGCTGGCAAAGGACCAGCTTAAACCAGCAAAGGACCAGCATAAACCAGCAAAGGACCAGCTTAAACCAGCAAAGGACCAGCTTAAACCAGCAAAGGACCAGCATAAACCAGCATCCCAGCGTCAAAACATACCTAACCAGCATATGCTGGTTTTTTCAACAGGGATAAGCTTTGTATAGTATTTTCTTTACTCTTTACTTCAAAAACTATGTCTAAAAGGGTAATATTTGATGTATTTGAGGTCTGAGATGCGGGAACGGTGAAGAGAGAGAGGGCAAACATATTGCATTTTAGGTCAGCATTGCTGTCTAATCAGCCAATATTGTCTTAAATAGCATGCATAGCACTTGCATTGCATTGACCAAATATATTCAATATTGATTTTTGTCAAATGTTGCAACAAGATGTTAATTTTTTAAGATTGCAGGGGGGTTTCTCCTGAAGTCTACTATCATCTCCTATCATCATATCATCTACTATCATTAATGCATTTTAAATGTGCTGAAGTAGTGCTGAAGTCCAACTAAAGATAAAATAAAGTAGGCTATATTTGATTGCGCTGAAGTGGAACTATTGCAAGTGGTGCACTTTAAATGACATTTACATTTAAAGACTGATATTATTCAAAGATCATATACAGTCCTCATCAATAGTGACATTAAAACATATTTTAGGTTTAATATTAAGAAATGAGCATTGTGCACAAGTAGTACTCCAAATAAAGCTTAATTATAATTTTTATATCAGTAAGTCGAGCGATATGTCAGTAAATATGTTAACAGTAAATGTATTTTAAATAAATTACGTTTTTACTAGGGTGAACTTGTGGAAAACTGACTTCAAACATTTACTAAAAACAGCAAAACATCAGCTGATTCAAAGATATTGATCTTTGTTTCCTAATCTAGTTTTCTAATAAATATGGCATTCTGAATTCGTTTTTTAACTCTGTGAAATGCATGTTCCTCATTTGTAAGTTGCTTTGGATGAAAGTATCCGCTAATAAAAGAAATGCAAGTTAATGAAAACTTAGTTGTGCAGTGTTTGAGCTTACCTGACACTTATTTTGATGATATTTTGTTAATTTTATATTTATTTATATATTTTATATACTGTAATATGTGCAATACCTGACCCACCTCTTACAGTGCATTGCAGAGTCTTTATGGCCACGTTATCATCTTTATTTCCTATAATTTTTTCTACTAGGTCTAATAACCAGCACACAGCTCACAGTTTAGATCTTTGGTTTATTCTGTTAATTATATATGTTTTTTTATTATTTATATTATGTTATTTAAATTTACAAAATAAATACGTTTTTGAAACGGAAACTAGTTAATGCTTATATGTCTTCTGTCATATTTCTGCACTTTGCATAACAACACGTCTTAACCATGATAAAACAGCTATAAAACATAATTTTGTTGCTTACCGGTTTATTTGAATTCATTTGGCCTGGCATAAATAACTCTGCTTGTTGAATAAACCAACTGAGTTAGTGTTAGTGTTTAACTGACCTAATGTTCAGAACAGAAATACTCATTTCTGTTCATTTGTTTGTGTTTGCACACCAGTGTTGGGCAGTAAGTTACTAGTAAGTTACAGTAATAATATTACTTTTTGCAGCAACTAGTATAGTGTAACTAATTACTGATAAGATTTCAGTAATAATATCCATAAAACAGCTACTTAGTTACTTCGATGCCTCAAACCCTACTGATTTAAAGTCCAACAATCCAATAATTCCTAGATTTATTTTCATAATTTTCACAACTTGCATGGGCACATGAAGTCACCAGTGCAGCAGACATATGGAATATGAAAAAGTTTACATTCAGCGGATGGAAATATTGACATGACGTTGATTTTGTCAGGAGAAAAGATGATCTGAACTCTGATTTCTGAGGAAACCTTTGTTAACAATGGAGTCCCTCAAGGAAGTGGTTTAGGCCCTCTTTTGTTTCTTTTATACATAAATGACATGCAAGCAGTTTGTGATTGTAATTTGTTTTTATATGCTGATGATTCTGCTTTATTCATTTCAGATAAGGTTGTTGGTAGGATACAAGTGAATTTATGAAAGGAGCTTTGTAAGGTAAGAGACTGTCTTTCTGAAAACAAACTGATGTTGCATTTAGGTAAAACGGAATCCATATTATTTGGGTCTAAAAAGAATTTGAATAAGGTTTCTAAGATGTCTGTTAAGGTGGGGGATTGTTTAATATCAAATAGAACTACCGTTAATTATCTTGGATGTGTACAATGATTTAAGTGGAGTAAGTATGGCTATGAAAGTTCTGGGTAAGGAACAAAATGTCTTGCCAGACATGTTAGTTTTCTTGATAAACAGAATATAAAATGACTTGCATCATGTTTAGTGTCATGTCATTTCGAATATGCATGCATTTCTTGGATGTCTGATTTGTCTCGTGGTTGGTTGGATAAGTTACAAAAATCTCAGAATAAATGGATAAGGTTAGTTTTAAGGTTTAGTCGCTTTACACATGTTGAGGTTTCCCATTTTAAATGTCTTGATTGGTTACCTATAGAAAGCAGACTAGAACACATTAAATTAAAATGGTACATAAGATTATCAATAATAGAGCACCTTCATATTTTAATGCACTTTTATCTCGGGTAAATGAGCAACATTTTTTATAAAACTAGGCAAGGTCTTATGGATATTACATTATGTCATTTTAAAATGTATGGAGGTCTTTTAAATATTCTGGGGCACTTTTGTGGAATAAGTTACCTCTGGATATTAAAGGTATTTCGAATATGGTTTTAGTTTAAAAGCTAAAAGTTCGCTCTAGTAGGTTGTTTTGTTGATGAATCTGTATTACGTACGTGGTTACTTGTGACTGTAAATTTGTGTAAATGTGGAATTTTACTGTAATTCTTGTATTTATAATGCAGTGCCAGTGTACCTGTTACTGGGAGTAGAGTTTGTGCTTTACATCAAGGACCACAATGGAAACGTATTCACTCCTTTTTGTCTAATAAAAAGAAAGAAAGAAAGATGTGTAAGTTGTGGCATTACTTTACTCTGGCTTGCCCTCATCCCTCCGATCCTGGTATAAATTGTTTAAAATCCTTTTAGAGAACGAAACATTTTCTTATGAACTTAAATGATTTCTTTTGATAAAATACATCACGGAATATAATCATATATACTAGGCTAACAGAGAAATTAGAGCTACAATTAGCTTCAAGCTACACATGACAATTAACGAGATTAATACAACACTTTGACTTAAACTTTACTAGTAATCACCACTGAGTGTTTGTAATAACTTCTGACTGCGATCCAATGTGGATTTTGGTCAAATGATGAGGCAGAAATATATTGTTAGTAACAGCTCCATTTGCTATTACTTGCATTAGGAGTATTTTTGTAATTGTTTGCATTTGTAAAGTAAGCACTTGTTTTCTTAACACTTAATGTCAGTCTCAAGCGAAGCTAATGCACTTTATGTGTGCAAATGACTTCAATGTAAAATAAAAACTGTCCACATTAACGTTAGATAATGATATGTGGTACAGAAATGTAAATGTAAATTAAATCTAAATGAAATCAGGATAAAATGACCTAATAACCAAATCTGAATAGAATTCCAGATCTCCAGTAATGTCCAGCAGGGGGCAGTAGATGAACTGGAACCAGCTTTGAGTTCTTGAGTGTCTTTAAGCAGTGCAGATATTCATGAATGAATTGTTGAGGCAGATGAGCACACAGACTGCATGCACAGGTATTTCAGTTCAACAACAATCCGCCGGTGTTGGTTTAATTACAGACAGACTCTCAGAATGAAGCTGTGCAACTCAAGAAACTCTCCAGAACAACAAGAGTCACTTGAGAAATGACACTTATGATGAGAAGCGATACATTGTGAAAAATACAATTAATCTGTTTCCATATGTTCAATAATATTATATGTACACACACACACACACACACACACACACATGTTGTGTTTCCGTGTTTTATGGGGACATCCCATAGGCGTAATGGTTTTTATACTGTACAAACTGTATGTGCTATTGCCCTACAC